CACACACACACACACACACACACACACACACACACACACACACACACGAACAAAAAAACGAACTTCCCCCCCTTTTTTTTTTCGGAGGCCGCGCGCGGCCTCAAATTTTTGTTAATATTTTTTTGTGGTTTATGACGCAACATCCCACTCGGTTCTAAAACACCCCTTCCCAACTTTTTTTTTTTTTCTCGACCCCTTATTTTCGGGGTGTGCCGCACCCCGTGTGCGCGCGTCGTGCGCTGTGTGCAGTGTGGCGCGTGTGCGCAGTGCAGCGCACGTCGATGCGCCGCAAGTATGTTTTAGACCCCCACGCGCATTTCGAAAATAATAAAGAGAAGGCAGTTCAAGGCACAGAGAAGAAGCATAATAAGTGGGGAGCGGATGGGCTGAATGGAATGGGAGAGGGAGAATGGGAGAGGGAGAGAGAGGCAGCAATGATGGTGGAAGCTAAAGCTTGGTATTTGGCAAACGGAAATTCTCGAAAGGGAATTAAAGCTGCTTTACCAGTCAATTCAGTTTTCAAAAGACACAAAGTTCAAAATTCAAAGAAGATAGATGAGAGGAAAAGATCTGGGCAACAGAGGGATTTTCGACAACATACCTCCAAGATAAGGCGTCTGGTTTTCATGTAGTTTCTGCGTAATTCTTCGCCGAAGGCCCGGTACTCATCAGATACCAGCAAGGAGTCGTACAGTTCTCCAATACGAATGTCTCCCTTCGCGAAGACCATTTCAATAAGATCAAGTGTCACACGGAAGAACGGCCACTCACGGTGCATCTGACGCAGGACCTCCAGATTGCTGGGATCTTCCTCGAGCAGACGCTCAATAGCCGTACCCACTCCTAACCACACCGGCAAGTGAACTCTGGTTTGAGTCCATGCAAACACCCAAGGAATTGCTCTCAGAGAAGTTATCCCTCCTTGAGTGCTACGCTTTGACGGACGGCTGCCAATGTTCATCCGCCCGTACTCCAGAACCGGCGTCACCTGCCATACAACGAAAACAAGGGAATTTGTTTTTGACAGTGTGCCATGGAGAGAACCCACCACTCACAGACCCGTCTTTAAGCCACCACAACATCCGAGGCTGTTTTTACTGATCTGAAACTATGCCCCCACGCCAAAACCAAAACGAAACCTGCTGGCCTAGCTCAGTTGGTACACCACTGAACTGTTGAAATACCGACCAGAGTTCGAACTCCACTGGCAGCACTGCAATTCTGAATTACCGAGGGCCGGTCAGTTCAAATGATGATATCTCAAGAACATAGCCCTAAAAAAAAAAAAAAAAAAAAAAAAAAAAAAAAAAAAAAAACGAAGCGCTGCAGGTGCGGCGCTTTCTTTTCTTTTTGGCTGGCAGCACCAGCCATTTTGGTCCAGTAGCCCCGAGCCCCCGAAAGTTTCAGATGTAGTACGGCATTGCGCGCAAACTCACTCTTCAGTTTTTTCCTCCCGGGGCATGCACTACTGGCCGTCTAAAGCACCAGTAGAGCAGATGCTGAATTCCAAAACCTATTATTTTTACGCCCAGAACTGGCACTGGAACCCCTCGGGCTGGTACATCGAAATTGCAGCCCCATTGTCTATGGCGAGAAGTTCTAGAAGAGGGGGCTCATACTGGTGGCTTAAAGAAAAAAATTCAAAATCAGCGCATTAGTAACATTACTCGTAGCATCGCAGCAGGCGTTCTACAACAAGGAACGTCAACAAAAATCAAAGTAGATGTCTACAACAAGAAATGTACCGGAACTACGCCTTCCTAACTCTGCTCTGTGCGGGAAGCAGCACCCAAGCTCCTAACACCTGGGGCGTGGTCCCACTAGCAAACAGGATCGGATCGAACACCTGAATCTGGACGAGGTTGTGGAAATGTGCAGTAAATCGAGATTGAACCGCTTTCCTGCATCTCTGCATAAAACACATCCAGATTCAGGCACTCGATCTGATCCCCGTTGCTAGTGGGACCTCGGCCCTGGCGCGGGCTGGAAAGACACTAAACCCAAGTACATAGCTCGAGGTAGGTAGTGTGAGATAAAAAAGAAGAAAATAATATTGAGAGAAGAATATATAGTAGCAAAAAATGCAGCTGGCCCCCGTATGAGGAGTAGTAGTAGTTGCCCTTCAGGACATCCGTTAAAATTGGAACGATACAGAGAAGATTAGCATGGCCCCTGCGCAAGTATGACACGCACAAATCGAGAAATGGTCCAAATTAAAAAAAAAAAAAAAGTAGTTATGAATCCGTTCATCTGGGATGATCTGGGCTTAAGCCCTCCTCTGTGCACGGAGTCGAACTGGCAACCTCAGCCTCAAGAGCCAAGTCTCTTAAATCACCAGTACTCGGCCCAGCTATCGGCCGTGGGGAAACATAGAGTGGATGAATCTGGGCACTCCTGTAGTTGCCCGTACTCCTAAAATCGTGGCCTGTTAACGGGCATGACTTTAGGAAGTACTGGTGGTTTAACAACTACAGCTAGGACATGGTGTCAAGAAGTGGAACCATACCGGTCATGATATTCCCCGAACCCTGCAAGGTTGCAGTGTCCAACTCAACTCACACCACACTCAACACCCACGGACACGGCAATTCTCTCACACTTCGCTCCAATCAATACTTCACCCCCACAGGGCACAGATTGCACAGTTCACCACAGTAGGTTAAGGACGCAGCAACTGTTTCAACGATGTAAAGGGCCTCTTTACCTTCTTGGAAAATCCTCAGGAATTGGATTGAAGTCCTTGGAAAAAATTTCGGTTTTCGGAGTCACCGTTACACCATGTCCTAATTCGATGGGTCCCAAGGAAAACCCTTGGAGGCCAATTTCATACGCATACACACAGTCGCGAGGGTGGATGTCTGTCATCGTGCAAGGATGTTTGTGCGTCCTCGGGCGTGGTCTAGTGGTGGCGGCAGGGAGGCCTACCGGGCTGAAGAAAAACAAAAAGGGCGCCAACATGCCGGTTCAAATTTTGAATTTCAAACCCTCCGTTGTGACGCATCCGCGCCTGAGCCGTCCTGGCGGCTGGACTGGAGACTTCATCCAAACGTCTGTGCGGAGGAGTGATGGCGGCCATGGCTTAAAAAGGCATCGGAACGTTGGGCGACGTAGCGTGTATGCGTAATGCTTCTCTACTGTGACATCGCATTTGTGTTCCGCATGCTCTTCGGGCTGAGCACGAATGTAACGTCTTTGTGAAACGTGGAGAGTGCGAGCGCGGTCCGCATCGACGTGCAGAAGGTCCAACGAGGGCGCCGGCGGGCAAACAAGTGGTGGGCGCTTGCGCATTGCAGGTCTTGACTATGGAGGGAGAGCTCCTGGGTGGTGCGAAGGCATTAACGCAATTGGAGAGAAACACGGTGGTCGGAGTTGTGTCAGTCGTCACCATGCGTTATCACATTGAGAGAATGACAGCTCGCCTGAGGATGAGATTGTCCATTCATAGGCAAAGGCAGCTGTGTTATGACCCTGGCCAATTTCGAGATACACATCCACCGGAAAGTACAATGCCATCCAATTGCAGAAATAAATGAATGAACTTGAGCGGAGAAAGAGGATTAGAAGAAGAAGAAGAAGTAAGAAAGAAGAAGTAAGAAATAAGAAGTAAGAAAGAAGAAGTAAGAAAGAAGAAGAAGAAGATGTACACCAGCAAAGACAATGACAAGGCTCTTCTTCTTCGCCCAACAATCTCCTCCTCCTTATCTCCCCCTTCTCTTATTCATACAAGAAATAATAATACAACGTTGAATGACTGGTCCAGAATCAATGTCCGAGTCCCTCTTCTACTGCAGGTATCACTCAAGGTCCACCATAGCCATGGCCGCCTCTCCCACTCTTCACTCTTATAGGCCGAGGCTATGGCGGACTACTAGGCCTTGCCCAGACGTCCAAAGGACAACCCAGAGCAGCTATGGCTGCTCTAGCTCAGGCCGCCATGCCCAGCCCTGCCTTGAAGCTTCTTGGTGTGGCTCTCCCCGGCTGGGGACTTCTTGCTGCAGCGCCCACCAGGGTGATGAAGATGGCTGCCACCATAGCCAGGTAAGTACCCCTGGCGCTCCTCCCCCTTCCTTCCTCCTTCCTCCTTCTTCCTCCCTCATGTCCTTTTCCTTCCTCCCCAGCAGCGCTGCTCCAGCCAGCACTCCACCAGTGTGTCGCCAAACTTGCACACCGAAAAAGAGGCCGGGTCTTCCGCCCGGCCTGAAGATATAGCGGCCTGCTTTGCCTCTTGGGCGGTGACTTCCAGGCCGCTGGCCTTCCCAAGCAACCGGTACCTCCTCCTCTTTGGAGGGAAACATCATTGCAGACTCTGATATTGCCCCTACAGGCCATTGACTCAGACTGGTACCCGCTAGACCTAGCCTACACTACCGGCCTCTAAAAATGCCACTTTTGTCTTCTTCTGCTCGGCCTCCGGTACCTGCATATTCACCCCCCTGCCGGGTGCGGTACCGGCCTACCCGCTACTTGAGTGCTTTTTCCCCGCTGCAACCCTTCAAAGCCACGGCCACAGGTAAGTACCGGCCCTGAGGGCCCAACGAACGAAGAAGTGCCCTGGCGGGCCACACACACACACTCGTACCAACCAGCACTCAGACAGGCACAGTCACGCGCACGCAAGCCAACCAGCACTCAGACAGACATGCAGTCCAGCAAAGACACACACACACAGACTTAGCAGGCGGGGGCTCAGTAGGGCATTCAGTCTATGAGCAAAACTCAGAAATCAGCTGTGTGTTTCAGTCCATGTTTGGATGGGTTATCACAGCTGATGCAACAAGTGATGGATGCGCCCGATTGTGTGTCGTTAACGGAATCCATTGTGCAATTCTGTTGTGCCATGGCATCGGCTGTGATCCCGCAGGTGACGCCAAGATGGTGGATGAGGAGAAGGATGAGAGGGAGATGGGAGGATCTCCAGCAGGTTGACGAGGCGGGGGAGGGCTACTACAAGGAGAAGCTGCGGAGTGGAGTAGTCAATGGCGCGCCGGCTGTCTGCTGGAGTTTTCCCTCCTGTCCATCGTCGTCTTCCTCACCATTCGTTGTTTCCGTCTGCTGCCATGACCCTGCACAACGACGCATATGTGGAACAACATGACAAGGAGCAGGAGAAGAGTGGCCAGCAGCAGGAGCGGGAACCGTCGGAGGACGTCTACCATGAATCGCAACATGCAAAGCGTGCACCAAACAAAGCTTGCATCAATGCGCCCGACAATAGCCGACAAAACAGGCTAGGCAGATGAATGCAATCGGCCGGTAGTGCTTCAACATCGCCTGTAGAAAAATAAAAAAATTTGACCGTTGGACACCACGGCCGACGACGCACGCACGAAAAACCCCGCTTCGTGAAGCGCCTTGCAGCTGAAGAACCAACCCCACGCATTTCTGCACCAGCGGTAACGGTGGAAGGCCGTTGGGGGCGCGTCGGGTACTAGAGGCCAGCGCCCGATGGACCACGGACAACCTGTGCACCAACATCGACTCCAAATTCTCCTGTCGGCACTCTCTCCAGACCACTTCGTCAATTGCGGCTCCTTTAACCCAAGGGACCTCGCGAGGACCCCTTGTATCCAAGGACATTTTGGCTGGGGATTCCGAGGAACCCAAGGATGGGGCAGGTATCTACCTTGTATCACGTCCAGAAGGGTGTTCGTTTTTTTTCTTTTTTCTTTTTTGTGGTTGTGAGTACGTCGTTTTTTGAAAGTCTGCACGTGCTTTTCTTTCCTTTTTCAGAAGAGTACCAGAAAAGAAACACAATGGACCCCAGTCTCGGCAAAACTCAGTACGCAGTGAAAAATCAGGGTCGGTACTGGCGGTTTAACTTAAACCACCAGTACACGGCCCCAGCCTTGCTTAAAAGAAAACTCGTTGCCTACCAAAATTTTGGTGGGCCAGCGCTGTAGATAAATCTAATCGGCGGCGGGCGGCCTCCGAAAAGGGCCCGCATTGATGAACATAGAAAGGTGTGAAGCAATGAGGTGCCCCGCCCTGCACCCGGGCGTGAAGCCGGGGGTACCTGGGCATGCAAAAAAAAAAAAAAGAAGAAGAAGGTTTTCTGCGCTCTCCGAGAGGACCCCAAATCCGGGCTCTCTTTTTTTTTTGAGAGCTGGCTGTCAAGGGGGGTGAAGGGGCATAAATTGGTTTAAAGGGGGGTGCCTATGTGCGATTCTGTTATCTTCTTTTTTTATCTCCGATTCTGCGAGGAATTCTGATGTGACCCTCAGCCAAAAGTCGTTTCTATTGCAACTAAGTTGGGTGCCCGGGCGCCTGGAAAAACAGCCTAGATGACAGGAGCATAAAGATGAACATTTGAGCACTACTCGGTAGAAATGAATCTGGTCCAGGCACTCCCCGAGAAATGTTTTTTCGGATGCCGTAGAGGAAGAATCCCGACAGACTGGGGGATTTTTGTGGCTTTTTTTTTTTTTTTTGGGGGGGGGGTAGGGAGTCACTCTTCTTGGTGGGTGCGCTCAAGGGGAGTTAGGGGAGTTAGCTTTTGTCACTTTCTGCACTGTGCGGATTTTTTGTTTTATTTTTTGGAGACGTTTTGAATAATTTTTCCACAAAGATCAGCACTCAATCTTTTGTCACTTTTTGCGGTGTGCAGGTTTATTTTTCAAAGATTTTTCTCACAAAGATCAGCACCCAATCTAAGTTTTTTTGTGACCCAGACAGTGACCCAACACCAAGTGTTGGGATAACAAACAAACATACTGCATAGAAGACAAATTACAACTCAATTTCGTGTAAGCAAGATTGAAATTCGCCTAAGCTTTAATGACTCTTCGACGTACATTTTATGCGAACGGGACAGCATTGCCTTAACATTTGTTGTTCGTTAAGTTGTTGACTCACCGACTGGAAGTAATCGATGAACTTTGGGCCTGATAGCGTCGAGCGGAACTCGTTAGTGGCAGTGCTGGACATATTTTCCATCAGGTTCCTCCACAAAGGGTTTGGAGGCCTCGGCGGGTTAAGTCCGACCTCCAATGTGGCTGCTGTGAAGCGTTCTAACGTCCGGAAACAGAGGTGCGCTTCTCCAAACGATTGGGCAATGATTTCACCTTGTATGGTGATGCGTAATGACCCATTCACTGTACCCGGAGGCTGGGACAGAATGGCAAGATGAGTGGGACCGCCACCTCGTCCGATTGTTCCTCCCCTGCCATGGAAGAGAGTCACCTTGACATTGTACTTCTCTGCAACCTTAACGATTTCCTCTTGGGCTTTGAACAACGCCCACGCCGCCGACAGCCTTCCGGCATCCTTTCCAGAATCGGAGTAACCAATCATGACCTCCTGCCGCCCGTTGATCATCTTATGATACCACTCGTTAGAGAACAGCCGTTCAATCGTCTTCGGTGCATTGACGAGGTCTTGGAGACGCTCGTACAGTGGCACTACCCTCAGAGGGGTCTGCACTCCACACTCCCGCTGGAGGAGATGGACGCCAAGCACATCAGACGGGACTGATGACATGGAAATCACATATGCGGCAAATGAGTCCGATGGAAGTTCTGCAATCACTCGGAACGTGTCAAGCACCTCTCTAACATCTGCATTGCAAGGAAGATCGGCACCAAAGAGGGGCCGTTTACCCTTGAGTTCCTTGACCAGGAATGCCTGCCGCTCCTCTTCAGACCAGTTCTTATATGAACCAATTCCTAAGTAGGTGGTAACGCAATCAATGACTTCAGTGTGCCGTTCCGACTCCTGTCTGATGTCGAGCTTCACCAAAGGGAGGCCGAAACAGGTGACTTGGCGCATTAAGTCCAGCAGTCGACCATCAGCAACTGCTTTGTCACCTGTCTCACACAGCGATCGATAGCAAATCTCCAGCGGCGCCATGAGCTGCCAGATTCAGAGCAAATCATCGTGTGAAGGGACATAGCAGCAACAACAACAAGAGAAAAAAGTTCAAAAAACACCCCCAGCATTAATAAAAACAGGTCCCATCAGCGCCACAGCTGGCACAGCAGTAACAAGAACATCCACAGCAGGGACAAAAACATGCCCACCGAACCTGTAGACGTAACAGCAGCACCCAGAGCAGCCATAAAAACACCCCCAGCAAAACACAAAACACACGGCCAGTGGCAAAAACATCCATATAATTTACAAGAACACCCGCAGCAGCAACAAATAGATAAACAACCCCAGCAGTTAACCGCAACTAAAAGAGAAAAAGAGCAGGCTAAGAGAAATTCACTCACGCAGCTAGGTCACGAAAACATTATATATATATCGTCAAATAGAATATATATCGTCACAAACAGAACTGCCCGGTAAAACCGTAGGTATATATATATATCGTCACAAACAGAACTGCCCGGTAAAACCGTAGGCAGAGAGAGAGAAGAGGACAACAAACGAGGGGCTGTGACAAACTG